CAGCAGCACAAGTTCTGAGGAAGTTAAATTAACCTCTCACCAAGCCACTATTTTCCCTCCAGTCCAAAGCTACCAAACCCAGTTTTGTGCAACTTCCTCTAATCTAATTCCTCAGCTGAGAAACACAGCTTCGATAGTTCTGGCAGATTCAGAAAAAAACACGTTTAAAAATAGTCCCTAAATAAAGCTGAAGCCAAAACTGGCAACCACAATCTGCTTGCAAATGTTGTGAGCAGGAGTAAGAGCCTAAAGGGAGTTAYAGCATGAAGAATTAATCACTTCCTCCAAGAAAGCAAACAGGGTCAAGAATCTGGCATTATATTCATGCAGGATTTTTGGTGTTTCTAAATAAATTGTGCTGTGCTACTATTATTTACCCATTCTTGYTTGTACAAGGACTCCATTACTACAGTCATGGCACCATGTGGAGGATCTGTCTAGAATTTTATTTTTCCTTTTAAGCCAAACAGCCCATTTTACTGAATATTTGCTGATCTGCTACTTGCTGTTCTGATAAGCAACATATGAACATAAACATTTAGGATCTAACCATGGAGTTGTCCTGTTTTTTACAACGTTAAGACTCATTCATGAAGCTGTATTAACATATAAACACATAACTGATTTTGCAGAAGTTTTTTTGCTCAATGTTGGTGGCCTGAACTCATTTGTACAGGTGAAATCTGGGTCAAAGATTTGGGTAAAACAAAATGGACCAGGTCTTTATTCATCTGATTAAGAGCTCTACATCCAAAACTTGGTATCACCAACTTGGAAAAATTATCTGGATTCATATTTCAAGGCAGAATTAATTTCAGACAGCAGCTGGGAAAGGACTTGGACAAAAACCAACCCACAATATTTGGTATAACCAGTTTATATTTGTGTCATTACCAGGATTTAAAGTGAAAAGAGAATTTGCCCCTTTATTTCCCCTGTCCTTACAGCCCCTGACTGGTGGTGTGGCACCATCACAGCTACTTTACTGCTCAAATCCTTCTCCTCTCCTCTGCAAAACTCTTCACAGGTCCCAGGGCATTGCAGCAATTTTGAGCTGCAACTCCTGAACCTTTCAGAAATGTGAGCTCTCACATGGAAAACATGCTCAGTATTCCTGTCACCTTAATTAAACACGTACTTGACATATGTTCCTCTGCTGAAAAGCAGAATCAGTCTTCCTTGTGCATGAAAAAACCCTGGTGGCTTCTAGGCTGAACATGTTCCCTGAAAAAATTTAGATATAATCTCCAAACAAAGATATTTATCCAATTATAGCCATTATAACCAATTGCTAATTGCAATTTAAGATTAAAACAGGATCTAGAAAGCTGCAATTCTCCCTCATGATCCCTAAGAAGAAAAATTCTAGATTTTGTCACCAAAATAAACTAAGACAACCCTGTCCACACAAATACCAGACAATCAAATGCCCACTGAATAAAGAGTGGCACATTGTGAAATCTTCCTTGAGCTGCAAGTGCATAAAGTCCCTCAAAGTAAAAAAGAACTGTTAATTACATGAACCCTTCTGATTTCTTTTCCATTTTAAATTATTGAATATCTGGCCTACCTAGAATTGCTCCACTGGATATAAACCTGGAATTAAAAGCGTTTTTTTCCCATGCAGACTGATTTTTAGATAAATAACACTCCATGACTCCTAAGTTTGTATTTTGTTTGCAGAGAGGTCTTGTCAGCCTGACACAAGCACCAAAATGACACCAGACACGAGATAAAAAGGAAGGAATCAATTACAAAAAGCTTTCTATCCATTAGTATAATATATGCCTGCAAATTCAGTGATCTTTTCAGATCCCAGTTGTGCACRTGGCTTGTCCAATTCACTGTTCTGTGTTCGTTCACCTTTATTTTCCTCTTAGGTGTGTTGCATTCAGTTAAATGGTCTTTATCCATTTATCAGATTTTTCATCAATCGATATGCTGGGTAATCCGATTAATTTCCAAAAATAAAAAGTTTCTACTGATTTCTGTATAATTTGTTCTGCTGTTTCATTGAATGCAGTCACTCTGTCTGTATGCCCATCCATCTGGTCATTCATTTTTGATCTGTTCCTTGCTGCTGCCGTTTCCATCTCATTGTAAGGAAATGAAATCACACCTTGAGGGGTGGGGTGATGTGAACTCTCTCCAAGGCAAGCTGCCCAGAACTTCTTTCCAAGATAACTTTTCAGAAGGCACACAAGAAGGACACAGGCAGGAAGAAATGCTCCATTTCTGATCTCCACAAACAGAACTTTTTGGGTGAAGTACGGGCACAGAGAATTTGCATGAACCATCACAGGTGGTGGCTTTAAAGTAGCATAAAATTGCCAATGGATTGTAAAACCATGGAAATACTGAATAAGGAAAAAACAAAGCCATATTTTGGAAGTATTTTGGCTGTCAGAATAGCAAACATTCGTGTGGCTCAGGAACACCTCTGAGCTCTGGGCACAGGCAGGAGTCTGGGCTCTCTATATATAAACAAATGTCCATTCCCTCAGACAGGATATTCCTGCAGGACACTGCAAAAGAAGCAAAATTGGCTCCAAACAGTCCAGAAGGTGCAGAGACTTCTTTGATCCAGCAGAACACTCCAGGCACTGTTTGGCTTCACAAAACAGCCTGTGCTCCTCACATTTTTCTGTTTTATATGGCATGCTCTCCTTACCCCAGGGAGGTGAAGCCAAGAAAATCATCTGAATTCCAGTAGAGGAGAGCTCTCCTTCAGGGCACAAGTGGACTGAGATGGGTAACAGGTTGCTCCCAACATTTTTATGGAGAAAGCAAGGTCAGGCCAGGCCATCTGGGAGTGCCAGTGTTGTCATTCTTGATACACATCCCTGCATTAAATCCTTCCAGCTCCACAGAGTTTCCAGTTAAAGGCCTCGTCTTGCATGGGTGAGGTTTGAGATTCTGGTATAACAAAGCTTGTGATTGACAGCCTATCCTAGAAATGCCTTGAGAAAAACTGTTTTGAAGATGAAAATGGCTCTTGACTGCAGCTTCTAACCCCTCTTTATGAGCTGCCTGGCAGCTTTTATTTGTGATTTATTTTCCTCATGGGTTCAAGTGAAGTAGGAAATACCAAACTTGTAACCATCAGACCAAGAGAAGTACTACAGTTCATGTCAGCTCTCATCCTCCCCACTTACATTCCTGCAGTCATGAAAACAGATTTTAAAAAAAAATCCCACAAACAGTAGCAGAAACACCCCCCTTTCTTTTTTTTTTGGTGCTGTTTCATGAATTTCACAACACACAAAGGATGACAGAAATCTGAACAACAGAACTCCWTCACTTTACCTCGTAACAATCTTGTGCTGAAGGAAGGGAGAAAGATGTCAAGAAAAAATGCTGGACTGAGTTTATGGAAAGAAAGTTTGGAAATGCCTATAGGTTAAGAAGACAGGAAGGACAGCTTTTTAAAACTRAGCTCAGAAAATGGAGAATTATAGAAATTTGCAAACATGAATTATTATATCCCAAACATCCTCACTRCTTCACAGGTCTAGGAAGGTAATGTAATGGTGTGCTTCCCAAAACACTATTTTGGTTTTCTCTTTGTATTCTACTGGGAATTAAGTAATAGCAAGAAACTAAATTTGTGATCACAACTCTAAACTAYTCTTGATAAAACTGACAATTCTGGTTACCGAGATAATTTTGCTGCAGAGAAGGAGTAAGGGTTAGCATTGCATGATCGTCAAATTAAATGTTTTCCTTCTGCATTATGAGACTAAAATATGGATGGATTTTTAGGGCTTGTCAGAGATTTAGATATTATAATATCAGGCTTCAAACAGCTAAGTAGTTCAAGCAGCAGCAGAATTGCCTCACTCTAACACACACTTACCAACTGATAAAAATTACAGAATATATCATATCTTTTCATTCTTATCACATTTTAATAAAAGGCTTTGTAGTGAGAAATACAGTCAACTCAGCCACACACTRATCTTGTGCTGGTGATGGAGAAAGYTGCTCTYGTAATTTTGATCCAAATACTCTGGGACATCATTCTGCTCCAATAAATGTGGTGTGAGCTGCACCAGCCAGTGCTTRCACAACCAGTGCCAGGTAAATCAAACCCCAGGGCTCCTTCTGTGGCTGCCCCACTGGCTTGGAACTAAAGATTATAACATATCCACAAAAATCCACTATTCTCTTTCTCATTTCTGGGACTCAAACATGAAAAAGACAGCAAGATCAGCTCATGATTTCATTCATCACCCAAGTTGTTTGCAATATATACTTCTGCACAATTAGGCAATTTGAACTTACTTAAAAAAAAACCAACCAGAAAAAAAATTCCATTGTTATGACTTCCTGTCACTTAGCTGGCAGCTCTTAGAAGCAACAGCTGAAGGCAATGAAAAAAAAACCAAAAAAGCTCACAGTAATCAAGTTATTTTACAGATGAAAATGAGTTTTATTAGACATGATGCAAAACACACTAGAAGTGATCTCCTCAAGACAGAGAAAGGAACCCTTGTAAATATCCCAATTAATACAACGGATTAAATCAGATAGACAAATTCCCAAAAAGCAACCTAAASTTAATCTATTAGGACATAGCATAAACTAGGAATGTCTGATCAAACCTCAGACATAGACTGAGGATTACCTCAAAGCCAAAAGAAGAGTGATTTTACTGTCCTACTTCATGCTCCAGTAGAATATAACAAAATAAATATTTATATTTACAAAGGTCTGCATTGGGGAGCACATGCCCCCAGAACGACAACTGTGTAACCCTGAATATGCTTCACTCTACTGTTAGTGCTATGACTCTCAATGAAATCAAGTGGTTCCCAAGATGAGGAAGGGTCACAGGTTCACAACTTTATTCCCAAAAGGAAATTTATGACTTTCTGAAAGTCAGAAATTCAGGTTCCTGCAGCCAAAACAAGGTTCATGATCCCGCAGAAAGAGAGCAACTCCAAACCACAGAAAGGACAGTTTTTTACAAAAGAGGCACTGTGTCTAAATGAACTTACAGGAAGAGTGGATGCTTGGAAAGCTTTTTCTGCCTTCAGAGACCAGGTCTGGATCACCTGTGCAGTGCATTTCAGAGTTCATTACTCCATCTGGAAAGCAGCGGTAAAAGAAATCGGGACGCGGTCTACAAGAAACACCATGGACATTAAAAATACAAAAGCTGTAGTAACAAATAAACCTYAAAGTGATTATTACATTTACTGCTTAATTACATACATGCAGGTTACTCTGGCCTCAGGTGATCAGTYTGGCACAGAACAGATCATTGTGATRACMCCCAYGTTTTCACAGCTCTTGCCAGCACACCCTGCTCAGAATATCMTCAAAACCACCAAAATCTGAAGCCAGCCTTGATGCTCACTAAGTGCATCAAGAAAACCACTGAGATTCTTCTGACCCCGCAGGTTTGACTGGTGTCATACTGATCCTGAGCTAATAAACCACAAAGAGAAGCAAGGAGGGTGAGCACAGAGTCAGAGACAAGMTGACAGCAAAATACTTGGTTTGGAGCACAGAGAAAAAGGGCTTATGTCTGTCTAAAGAAGAGGATGTATCTTAATTATTTTAAAAGCACGCTTCAAATAAAAGTGCCACGTGTCAGGGCTGCCAGGGCATCAATCAATACTGCAGCAGAGAGGGTTCATCAGAAGCCAACACAAATACAGCTTCCTCAATGCTGCAAAATATCCCAACAACAAAAGCGGCACTGGACACAGTAAAATAGTGTATGAATTCAAGTATAGTAAGTATTTCTCAGCTGAAATTATTCAAATTTTTTATAAGCAGGCAAAAAGTACCCAAAAACATGCTTTTCAGGGAGTTTTGTTCGCTGGATTTTTCTGAGCCCTTCATTCAAAATTTTGTTTCCCTAAAGAAAGGAGGAGCCCATTGATTGCTCAGCCCCCGGGTTTGCTCTGCCGTGGATTTTGGTGTCACCTGGAAACAGAACCTGCTCCTCACAGAACGCAGGCACTGGGTCACACAGAGCCTCATCTGATCCCTGCTGGATCACTCAAGGGACACTGGCATCCAAACTGTCACACAGAGTGACCCTTCTCTTCGTGCTGCCCATTTCCTGAGCTGATTTCAGCTCCCACCGTTCCCTTTGCAGCCCCTCACTCCTCTGGGTCTGCCAGAGTCAAACAAGCAGCAGGACAGGGGGGCACAGCCCCTGGCACCGTGGGATGGCACAGGATGGGCACAGGATGGGCACAGGATGGGCTGTACAACCCCTGCAGCAGGACAGGGGTGCACAGCCCCTGGCACCGAGGGGTGGCACAGGATGGGCACAGGATGGGCACAGGATGGGTTGTACAACCCTGCAACAGGCAAAGGATAACTCCTCAGAGCCCCCCTGACTCCACGTGCTCTGGAACAGCAGCTCCCTCATTTATTGGGATTTTTTTGTGGTTGTCAATCTGTCTCCATCTCTCCCAACAGTTAAAGAAATCATTTAKAACACGACAGGACTTACCTTCCCACTATTAATTTGATGGTATTTGTGCAGACACCGTTCAGAGCTAGAGCCAAGGAAACAGCTACAAAGCAGAAGGAACAAAMAGAACAATAATCACCTGAATACCAAGCAATAAAATGCAGCATTACAGCATTTGATTTACCCTGTACTGGACTAAAAACTGAATGATTTTTTTTCTTATTACTATTTTTCCTGTTAGCCAGAACAAGGACAGACCCCAGAGCATCATAATAATCATGTCTTACTTTGTTTTTATTTCTCTACACAAAACCAGTTTTTCTACCACGCCATTTGCACAGGCATAAGTCAACAAATGGAAAAAAAATTGAGAATAAAGTCCTGGAGGTTTGCAATTTTTTAGTTTTGTCATTTACTGGATTAAACTCTCGTGCTCTTTGGGTCAAGCAGAATTCCTATATAGATTATTATGAAGATTTTATATATATATGTAGATATACACACATGTATACACATGCCACATGCACATATGTGTATTTATGTGTATATATATGTGTGTGATGCAATTGAACTGTTCACTTTCAGGCTAAAGCATTGCCTTTTGGTTAAAACTAGAATTGGATGACTTTATTTATTTCTCTTACAAAGGGATTTGGATGTTTTGACTGAAAATTCCAATGTTTTCCCCTTACATTTGCTCCCAAATGATTAACTGATTTTTCTAATAAAATTGGAGAATAAGCAGGCTCTGTCACGCTGGATAAGACTTAATCATCTTTTCTATTTTTCTTGCATGCCAAGTCCCTAGACTCTCCAAAAAACCTCATCTCAAGCCTGTGGAGATCTTTGCCTGATTTCACTGGCACTTGGATCCTGCACATACACACATTTTAGATTGAAACTGATTTAATTTTGCAGTCCACACCGTGGCTCCCTGTTGCAAAAGAAGTCAATGAATTTTATTTCCCATCAGAAAAAAAAATTATCAGGCAAATGSCTGATTTCCAGCAGAACATTTACAGTAATATAACTTTGATTATGACAGCCACATGAGCYATTTTCTCATTGGGCTGCTGCCCCAGATGCTGCACTTCAGCAGCACTCATCCTGTCTCCATAAAACCTTTGCCTGAGGATATTACAGACCATAAAAATGTGTTATAGAATCTATTTTTTAAAGGAAAAAAAAAAAGTGGGACCTTCATCATAGCAAAAATAAGGGTTTTCTGAGAATCCAGCGATAGCTGCCAGCAAAAAAAAAAGAACAAGTCAATCCTAGAGACACTCAAAGTGGTAAAAAACCTCTTCCTCTTTCAACACCTGTGTTCAGTGACCACTCARTCCTGGGCTCTGTTTCTCCCCTCCTTTGCTTTGTCTCAGTTTTTTATGGAAATTGTTTYGGGAAATTTTCCACAAAGTCAAATGCAGGCAATGTCACAGCACTACAGTGCCCTTTTTAAAAAGCAAGAGATGTACAAAGATCTGCTTTTGAAGACAGGCAGTAARATTTAGCCTTTTTGTTGAGCTTTTTCTTGATTGTTCATTGTACACCTGGCTGAGCTGTGCCACCCCTGCTGCACATTCCTCACAGAGGCAATCCGAGCATCAAGTGACAGTGTGAATGCAGGATGGCAAAAAGATTCTGTTTGCTCTCCTGTTGTTTTCTGTTAGGATTCATATTGCCCATCTAAAGTCACATAATCCAGTCAGTGACAAATTTAGCATTCCAGGGGAAGGCTTAAAGGCACCTAAATTAATTCCTCCTTCCTCCAAGTGCATTGAATCCCCTTCTTCTTATTAATGTCTCTTTGAGAGACAAAAAATTTTCACATCCAAATAATTTTAACCTTTTCTCTCTTCTATGGATTTGGGGCACTCCTGATCATTCTTCATGAACATTCTGTGCCAGATCTCAACAAATCTGCCCAGGCCCACCCCACCTAATGAACTTTTGATACCAAATATTATCAGTGTACAGTGCGCTTGAGCATAAATAACCACAAAAAGTTCCATACTCATGGCACAAACTGAACAGAACACCAGGGCTGGCGTTTCCTGAAAGTCTGGGTAGGAAGAGGAAGACTGGGGAAGCTGGCAAATTTTCTCCTAGACAAACTTTTCCTAGATTTCTCCTACAGGGAATCACAACAGAAGGCAAAACAGCAGGAAAAAAAATAAATAACGTCTTTTCAGAACAAAAAGGTAAGTGATGGAGAAAATGAAAAAACCCTAAATTCCCTTCCTTCTTATACAATAAGTGAGGCTCAGAAATGACTGCATGAGTTGTATGAATGAAGAGTTATTTCCACTGAATGGTCTTGTCAGTAAAATATCACTGTAAGACATTTCAGAACTTGCAACAGATGATTGGCAGCAGTCAAAACAAACCCAGGATTGTTTCACACAAAAATAAACTATGGGAATGAAGCCTTGTCTAAAAAAATTATCCAATTACACAATGACTTTTACATCAATCTAGCTAAGGCGAGGCTGCGTTTTGCTTTGATTTTATTATGTAAGGGACACTAAATTAAAGTGTGAATTAGCCAGTAAAACAGAATTTTGGCGTTATGCATATTTCAAATGTTAGCCCAGCAACAACATTTGCAGTTCTTAGTGCTTCAAGATATCCCTTGACAGTGGAAGTGCTTTAATCAATATTGGTCTCTGGCAAAATATGTGCAAAAAGGATCTGGGCATGCATCACAGTAAGATTTTGAGAGATAGGCACAGCCAGAATGAGGTTTACCCTCCCCATTGTCCTCAGGTCGAATTTTCTGCCTAAAACTGCAATTWGACCTCACCCACAGCACAGCCATCACTGCTCACAGGCCAGGATTCAGTGCACACCTAATTGCAGGTTAAGATGAAAAAACAGCTTTTAATTAGAAAAACTGAGCCAGGAGCAGAGATTTTGCAATGGGTAACAGTAAATTCCAGGAGATCAGAGAAAGCAATGAGAGGAGTAATTTCCCACACTAAGCAGCTGARTCCCACAGGACTTTCCAGTCAAAGCTTTAATTTAGAATAGCTGCAAGTGTAAATAAGAGGTGAGCAACAGATTGGGCATGACAGAAAAATATACACCTGAACAGTCTCTCAGACAGGCTTGTCTTGGCTGATCCAGTTTCAGACTTTGCAGGCCAGATTTTGGAATTAAGGCACAGAATTTGTACACCCAGGAATGCAMCTAAACCCAAAGGCTTGTGTGAGATGGCTTGAAAGTAAAACTGCACTGAAAACTGCTATAAAGGACTGTGACAGATTTTATTCAAGGCTTTGACTACCCCTGCAGTCAATCTCTGAGCACCATCACACATTTTTCCACCTTGAAGTGTGACATACATTACCTAAGAAAGCCTCTTTAATTTCAGTCTTGTCCGTCCGACGGATTATTTTCACCACAAAGATGACTGCCAGTGGCGTGAGAAAGGAAATTGCCTGTGAGAGATAACAAATATCCTGTGTGAGAGCATCCAATCCTCCTCAGTCCCACTGATTAATAATTAGCTTCAGCCAGCTCCATTTAAACTGAAAGGCTGAATGATCTTTATCAAACTCCTGACCTTAAGCAAAGTGGGAAAATTTGTCTTTGCAACTCCAGGGTGACGGGCACATTAATATTCCAACAGAGCCYTGGGTTATAATTGATTTGTAATTGCCCAGAGCTGCATTTCAAATGTCAGCTTCTCCAGTGAAAAAGTAACAGTCCATAAGGCCCACAAAATTCATACACTGATCCATACAGTAGTATAATGAGTAGAATACAGAGTTTGTACATTTTTTTTCAGTGTGCAGGCTCTGTGCTCAGTGAGACCCTACCCAACAGAACAGGCTGCAACACCAACTTCCTGACATTTTAAAACCCTCTTTATCCTATTTTTTGTTTTCAACTGTCATCCTTTAATACACTGGGAAGGTTGTCCTTATGATTTTTATGTCTTCATGATTCTTTCCTTTACAAGTGCCTGGCTGTGGAGCAAGCTGCTTCATCTTGTTCAAACCCAGAAAAACAACATCTGAGCATSGACAAGTTTAGTCACTGGTTAAACAGAACCTTCTTTAATTGTCAGTGCTGGAGGACAGGAATCCTCCTACAAGGAACCTGAAATGGCATCTGTGCTTCAGTGCACAATCTTTATTTTCACAAACAGCACCTCCATGATCTCAGAGCAATCTGGACCATGGTGATTCACTGTAAATGTTATCCCAAAAGCATCCTCCTGCCTGAAGTGCCTGCCCAGGGCAGGAACTCATGATTTTTCTCCAGAGAAACTCATCAGTTTGTCCCAAGCACTGGGCCAGGCAGTTTTTCATTAAGAGCTTGCCACAGAAACTCTGATTCTGCACCCAGATGCTGTCTCCATCATCTCTTCTGTCTCAGACCTTCAACTGCAGGGGCAAAAGGCAATTTGAAGGCCAGGAAGTCCATTTGTGTCTCTTGCTGGTTCCAGTGTAAGTTAACCAGTTCCTCCCTGGAACCTACAAACCTCTTCATAATCATATTTGGTCACAAAAAATCTGAGCCTTTCAAAAACATTTATTCTCTTAAATAAAAGTGAAAATTACTGGTTGGGGTTTGGTGTTGCTTTTTTTTTTTTAAATAAGGCAAAAATTAGGCTGTAAATGGAACAAGGAGTGCCAGGTCTTAAGCAAGATTATGCTTTTTTACTGAGGCTGAACAGTGTCTTTCTTCTTAAATAGCCCCACTGACACAAAAAATAGACCAGGCAGATCTATTATGACAAAAGCCAAGTGACTCAATCTTCTTTTTATATCACAGATTAATCCCAGTCCCCACTTCATGATTTTATGATATTTGAGTAGGAAACAACCCAAGAGTGCACTACATTTGTTATTTTGGCTGAGCACCTTGTACCAGATTGCCCTCACCTGCATCTGCAAAATATTATCTAACTCAGTGAACCACACAGATTGAAACAGTCTGGAGTCTGTTTCCCTTCTCTACATTTAGGAAAGCAGGCACCAAGTTTTGTGTAAAAAGAGGTGTCATTTCTACTTAAAMTCTCCCTCTGTCTGTGTGAGATTCAAGTTTGGATGCCAATGCCACATTATTGCTCCAAAAACGTTCACTTCTCTCCATCCTCACCAACAGTTTAATTTCTGCTTTCACAGACAGAGCGTGAAATTTAAAAAAAAAAAAAAAA